GAGGCAACAGCTGCTGTGAACCTTACACAGGGGAAATGCAAAGAAAACCAAAACAAGGTATTTGGGGGCACCATGGTGCTTCAGCTGTCACTTATTTTAAACTTTCCTGAGCTTAGATGCCTCCAACAGATCATCCTCCATTAACAACCAAATGGAATCTACCTTCCACAGGCCTTCATTAGGACCTAGTGGCCTGATTCCACTTCTTAAAGTTTCAGCCACAAGTGGAACGGAGCAGAGATAAGGCTGGGGGGCCTCACGTGTTCTCTTACTATTTCTCGGGCTGCCTGTCATGTTTTACATTTGAAATGTGTAGGTTATGTATCACATAATGGACCAATTCTAGTGATGTTGGACCTGCCCCGCAATCCACAGAGCCACCCCATTGATGTCTGGTAACACATTGTCACGTTACAGTCACGTCACACTGCCTCAGTACAAGCTTTAGATTTCCTCAGATGAATTAGTATCAGTACTTTTTTCAATGAAGGAAAAAAGGCCATCCTACAAGGCTGCCTGCTGTATAATTTGAAGTATATGACACTCTGGAAAAAGCAAAACTATGGAAACGGGAAAAATATCAGTGGTCACCAGCATTTAGGGAGAGTAAGGGATAAAAAGGTGGAGCCCAACAGAGGATTTCTGGGGCAGGGGCACTACTTTGTAAGATACTACAGTGGCAGATACATGGCACCAGACATTTGTCCACATCCATAGAATAAACACCACCATGAGTGAATCCTAATGTAAACCACAGGCTTTGAATGATAATGATGGATTAAGGTACATTCATTCATTGCAACAAACATAACACACTAATGCAAGATGTTCACAATAATGTGGTGTGTGTGTGTGGAGGAAAATGTACAGGGGAACTCTGTACTTTCTGCTCAATTTTCATGTAAACCTAAAAATGTTCAAAAAGTAAAATGTATTAAAATTTAATTCTTAAAAAAAAAACAGAAAAGCAATCCTAACAATAGGCTCTCACTGAGCCCTCTGTGTCTCGAGCTCCATATCAAAGCTGGGGTAATCCAGGTATGTGCAGCTGTTGTGTGTCCACACTGATGAGGAAATGAAGCCCGGGCTTTGCTGCAGAGCAGGTCACACTCAGAACCTCGCCCTGAGCTCTCCCCCACGGGCTTCTGCTTACTGGACACAAACAAACAGAAAGGTCAATATCTTCTCCATTATGGTCCGGTGAAGATTAAAGAATTTGGGGTCAATAGCACAGAGTAAGTGTCAGAACATTGATTTTCTTCTTTGCTTTCCTAAAAGGCTGCTTGAAGTGGATATTCTGAAAAATAAACTCCCAAGCTCCTTTGCACGCAGCTTTCCTGGCGTGGAAACAAGCTATGCACATGTTCGATGATGAAAGGTACACGTCCAGGCGTGCTGCAGTGACAAAGGCAGAGGATGCTATGAAAGCGTCATGTGAGCCAACACTCCCCTGGTCCCATTTCTAATCTCGACAACTAGAAAGAGCATAAACCGCTCCGGGATAAACAAGACAAAGGTAATCTATTAAACAACAGATTGAGATGCAATTCATTGCCACTCAGCAGAAGAAATATCTGAACCAGAATCTTCAGGATTAATAATATCAATAAAAAGCAGAAAGTGTGGGGGGAGGAGGAGGAGGAAGAGGAAGGAGAAGATGAAACAGTGGTTGCTCCCTGTTTCTTTGATTGTTAAGTGACTATTTGGACAAGAAGCCATGATTTTACCAGGCTTTACCTTTACGGTCAAACCCGCGATACCAATTTCTTTCCTCCAACCCTGGCAGTGTCTCTGAATGGTGATTTTCCCCACCGTGTATTCTTTAACTTGACTGTGTCAGTCTTTCTTATATTCTTGTTTATTGTTAACTCAATCCCCAATACCCACCTACACAGTCAGTTCTCAACTTTTACAGGGCTGTTATCTTTCCCAAGGTCCGTGTTTCACTTTTAAACCCTTCACTCCTTTTCCAGCTGTGTTGTTTGGTTTCACAGACATGGCGTTCAGCAATGTGAGACGCCGTCATCATTCTGGCATTCTGATGTCCCAGCAGAGCTCCCAGCGCAAAGGTAAGAAACACTCATTCTTCCAGAAGTGGCCCGGAGGCCCCTGCCTCCTCAGGGCTCTGCAACTTCCCTCAGGCCAGCCAGACCCTGCCAGCTCCGGGCTGCTCAGCAGGGAGCCTCCCTCCACTCTGGCACTCAGCTCATCCCCAGACTCACCCTCCCAAAGCAGGCCTGGGTTCATCCGTGTCTGGCCTTCACGAAGCACGGTGCCTCACATTTGCTGGGTGGCAAATGTGTGTGAACGAACAGAGACACAGAGCAACTCACCCAAGGAGAACATGGGAATTAAATATGTAAGTGTGTGCGTGTGCATGCATGTGTCCATGTGCACATGTGTGTGTCTGGGTGTCTGTGTGCATGTGCATGCATGTGTCCATGCACGCACGTGTATGTGTATGTGTCTGCATGTACATGCATGTGTCCATGCGCGTGTGTGTGTCTGGGTGTCTGTGTGTGTGTGCATGCATGTGTCCATGCGCACGTGTGTGCGTGTCTGGGTGTCTGTGTGCGTGGGCATGCATGTGTCTATGCGCATGTGTGTGCGTGTCTGTTTGCGTGTGTATGCATGTGTCCGTGCATGCGTGTGTGTGTGTGCATGTCTGTGTGTGTGTGTGCATGTGTCCGTGTGTGTGTGTCTGTGTGTGCACACATTTTAAACAAATCCTTGCCTGCCCTCTATGCTTTGTGGAGCTGAGACAGGCTAATAGTACATTGTGTCTTCCTCAGGAAATCAGAGTCTGGAATGGCCTAGAAACGACATCCCCGCTGAGCGCTGACTGTCACCTCGGCGCTGTTCGCAGAGGAAAGCTCCGGCTGGCGTTCGGCGTCCCCAGGGCTGCGGCATCAGCCCCTTCCTAAGCGCGCAGCAGCAGGCAGCCACATTTGCTCTCCACCCCTTCGGTAGGGAACACAGCCATGCTTGAAAGAAAACCAACCGGACCAAATGAAGTTTCAAAATATTCAGGGCAAGTTTTTAAAATGAGAGAGTTAATAGAGAGGAGCTTTCTACTCCACTTCCTGCCACAGCTCAGCCTCGGGAGCCTGCTGTGTCAGCCTCGGGTGAGCAGGAGGCAGGTGCACACGTGCTCTTCTCTGGGGCCCAGGGCTTCCGATGCCCCGGGCCATTCAAAGGTCGTTCCTCACCCCACAGGGAAGGATCGGAGTTCATGATTTCAAGTCCCTAATGTGAGTTCTGCATCATGATACAGTTTTTGTTTTCTTAAGGGAGAGAAGCGTCTGACTAGCGATCTTACTGGATTTGAACTAATCTCATGAAATACGACCTGCTCGGATCTCAGATGGGAAAAGGTTTGCACGGTTTCCTAATGCAAGCACCTGCTTTGGAAGAAGCGGAGGATGAGGTCCGACTCTCACCTGCAGTTTCAGGGCCTGGGGCACAGCTGCCCCCGTCCAGGCATGCCTTCACACATCCCTCCCTTGCCCCAGCCGTGCGACCCACTCTGTCCTCCTGTCTTACCAAGGACCTTCCATCTTTACCTCACCCAGCAAACTCCTGCATATCTGTCAAGTTTCAGATGAAGAGGACCTCCCCGGAGAAGTCCCTTCCACTCCTGCAGCAGGGCCCCGTCACCCTGAAGGAGACCGACACTCACTCGGCCTCCTCCTTCACAGCCTGTAATTTACACACGAAAATTTCCGCCGATCCCAATAACACAGATCAACACTAGGCACAAAGTAAATTCTAAAGTTATACGCCCTGCATGAAAATCCCTCTACATGCAATGCAATTGACTATTCCTGAAATAATTCTGCAACCATGTATCCAGGAAGGCACTTCCCTGAGTGTTAGACATAAACACATGTTAGACATAAAGGTGCTGAATAAAGGGTTGTGGAACAAATGCAAGAAAATAAAACTCCAGAACAGGAACACCTAAGAAAGGGTTACTCCATGCAGCCAACTGAGTAACGACGTATCAGGAAAAGGGAATATTACATTCACAACTTGATTTTAATCCACAGCCATCTGCAGCACATAGGTTGTGTGAAGTAATTGTCCTTTATTCATTCCACTTCTTTGCTCCACTTTAGGGATGATATGGAGATTTTTTAAGTGAATCACCCATAAATATAACTTTACCCCTGCATGAAACCCTTATATCACCAGAGAAAAGACACTTTTAAAATCTGGCAATGAAAAGAAATGATTTTGCTACTAATTTTGGAGGGGTTATTTCCATCCACAGAACACTGCAATGAAAAGAAGACATTTAAGTCAGCATTCTGGCAATTCCCCTCCCTCAGCCTCACATGTCTCCCCAAATCCGGAGCGAATGTGCATCAGGGAGCCCAGGCAGGACCCCACAGGCAGGAGGGAGTTCCTGGCCTCACTGGGGGCTGCAATTGCAGGGTCTGCTCGGGGATGCCAGGTACCCCTGGGAACCCCTGCTGGCAGGTGGCCTGTGGCCTGCAGCCCACCACAGAAGGGGCTCGCCATGGAGGATTCCAATACTCCAGCACGCACTTGCTCACAGCAGGCAGTTTTGCCCAGGGAAGGGCTTCTTTCACATCCAATAGTTCTTGAGCTTAATTTGCTTATAAGCCTGTGGGAATATCCTACTCGGGAAAGCACAAATTTGATCCCATACTAAAAAGCGAAGGCAGTTTATTTACCCGCAACGTCCAAACTAAAGAAAAATGTATCATGTGAGCGATCGCAAATCCTTTCCTAAGAAACACTATAAAAGGCAGGCCTCTTGGATGTTGAAAGAAGAAACTAAACATGACAACGCTGTGACTATTTCTTCATTTTTTTTGTTTTTTTACCATTTTCAATATTCCAATAAATGCTACAGATTTAAGAAGTCTGTGAGTTCTAAACCTGCATGATAAATCTCAAACAGAAATCCACAATGAGAATGTAGCAAAAGAGGTGCAGCAGCCATCAGATCAGAAAATAAAGAAGCCTCTTACCATGTTTATTGACGACACCGGACCGATGCTGTTGACGTAAATGTCGACGTCAATTACGGTCGGTTTTACTGTGGAGAAAAATACATGCATGTTAACACGTGGTGCTGGAGAAAGACAGACGGGAGCATATTCAAGTCCTAACACCTCATGCATAGCATTACAAGGACACGCTGGAAACACACATGCACAGGTCTTTCTGTGGGACTCAGTTCTAATTCAACCCCTGCCTGCCTTTCTTTTCAAAATCTTCAAAGGATGAGCAACTCTTACCTGTATCTACTCAGCTCTAGGAAAATAGAATATTGGTACGCTGCATGTTACCAGTCATAGGAGACTATAAAGAGACACCGTAGCTTGACTTAAGCTGATTTTATGGCAAAGATAGGAGGTAAAATGTGAGCTACTGCATGAGTAATTTAATGTCAAAGTTTTGCTATAAAGCCCAACACAAGAGATGAGCGATGTCAGTGATGTTCTTGAATTCTCTGTCCATTACACAGCTGTCTAGCTATTGTTCCATAGCAAAGTAACTCAGGGCAAAGTTCTGGTGAGTCTATACACCAATAAAAAATGAGAAACATTGTTTATTGTAATCAATATGACTTAAAGATACATATACATACATACATCACAGAGTTTAAATCCAACTCAAAACACAACGGGATGCTAATAGGTCAAAGAATTACCGTTTCAACTATGAGGGCCTAACATCCGTATAATCACAGGCCGATCTCACTAACACCACATGTCAGGGGCTACCCTGGCTCATTGGCTTTAGGAGAAACCAGTTTCTCTTTTGATGGCAGCAAAGGAACTGAGCAAGGCTGATAATGAGATGGCCGAGCCCGCAGACCTGAGTCAGGGGCTGACGTCCTCTGAAAGGAGGACATTCCCTTCACCCTGTACTCAGTGACTAAAGATGGGGAAAAGCCAATTCCGGAATATTTCTGCCGGGAGGAATATGAACAACTCCTGAATCTTTCCCCAGGAAACAGACTGTTTCTATAGAAACAAGAGTGTAGCATGTGCAGTGACCTCAATGTGCTTCCTTCAGCTGTGCTGAAGAACTGAACATGCACGAATGGAATTCCACGAACGGAATACTTCTGCAACAATGAATGGCGCCTCTGAGTGCTCAGTCTCCTATAAAACTACACATCCACCGGTCTGTGCCCGGGGCAGTGGTCCCCAGAGCTTCACGTAATGAAACGTTGATAACGAATTTGAGCCAACTCCTCCGAAGCCCGTCGGCACAGCCAAGTCCCGTGAGCTGCAAGACCTGCTGGCATTTTGGAAAATGCCCCAACCCAATTCCCAGCACTATCAGTTCCATAAAAGGGGTATTCTTCATTTTAGACTAAGCTTTGCTAACGACAATGCAAACTAAGTAGCATCTTTCTTCAAATTATTGGATTCAACAAGTGTTCCATTTCCAAACACTGCAGAATCTTTGATTATGTGGTGCCGAAGGGTGTGAAGTCAGTCAGTTAAGGACCTACTTTTAGTGAGAGACTTTTCTGGTTGTTTCATGCAGCTTATTTTTTGGCTTTGGGGTACATGTGAAGAACATGCAAGATTGTTGCATAGGTACACACGTGGCAGTGTGATATGCTGCCTTCCTCCCCTTCACCTATATCTGGCATTTCTCCCCATGCTGTCTCTCCCCAACTCCCCACCCCCCACTGTCCCTCCCCTATTTCCCCCCAACAGACCCCAGTGTGTAGTGCTCCCCCTCCCTGTGTCCATGTATTCTCATTGTTCAACACCCGCCTGTGAGTGAGAACATGTGGTGTTTGATTTTCCGTTCTTGTGTCAGTTTGCTGAGAATGATGGTTTCCAGGTTCATCCATATCCCTACAAAGGACACGAACTCATCGTTTTTGATGGCTGCATAATATTCCATGGTGTGTATGTGCCACATTTTCCCTGTCCAGTCTATCATCGATGGGCATTTGGGTCGGTTCCAGGTCTTTGCTATTGTAAACAGTGCTGCAATGAACATTCGTGTACATGTGTCCTTATAGTAGAACGATTTGTAATCCTTTGGATATATACCCAGTAATGGGATTGCTGAGTCAAATGGAATGTCATTTCTAGGTCCTTGAGGAATCGCCACACTGTCTTCCACAACGGTTGAACTAATTTACACTCCCACCAACAGTGTAAAAGTGTTCCTATTTCTCCACATCCTCTCCAGCATCTGTTGTCTCTAGATTTTTTAATGATCGCCATTCTAACTGGCGTGAGATGGTTTCTCAATGTAGTTTTGATTTGCATTTCTCTGATGACCAGTGATGACAAGCATTTTTTCATATGTTTGTTGGCCTCATGTATGTCTTCTTTTGTAAAGTGTCTGTTCATATCCTTTGCCCACTTTTGAATGGGCTTGTTAGTTTTTTTCTTATAAATTTGTTTTAGTTCTTTGTAAATTCTGGATATCAGCCCTTTGTCAGATGGGTAGACTGCAAAAATTTTTTCCCATTCTGTTGGTTGCCGATTCACTCTAACGACTGTTTCTTTTGCCGTGCAGAAGCTGTGGAGTTTGATTAGGTCCCATTTGTCTATTTTGGCTTTTGTTGCCAGTGCTTTTGGTGTTTTGGTCATGAAGTCCTTGCCTACGCCTATGTCCTGAATGGTTTTGCCTAGATTTTCTTCTAGGGTTTTTATGGTGTTAGGTCTTATGTTTAAGTCTTTAATCCATCTGGAGTTAATTTTAGTGTAAGGTGTCAGGAAGGGGTCCAGTTTGTGCTTTCTGCACATGGCTAGCCAGCTTTCCCAACACCATTTATTGAACAGGGAATCCTTTCCCCATTGCTTGTTTTTGTCTGGTTTGTCAAAGATCAGATGGTTGTAGATATGTTGTGTTGCCTCCGGGGCCTCTGTTCTGTTCCATTGGTCTATATCTCTGTTTTGGTAGCAGTACCATGCTGTTTTGATTACTGTGGCCTTGTAGTATAGATTGAAGTCCAGTAGTGTGATGCCTCCCGCTTTGTTCTTTTCACTTAGAATTGACTTGGCTATGTGGGCTCTCTTTTGGTTCCAGAGCTTTTTATATCCTTAAATTAAAAGAACCAACAGACATAAAGCCTTAACAGCTTGCAGTAAGCAGCAGCAAGTGTGTGAGTGCAACAAAGTGTCTAAGAGACAGAAGTTTGGAGTAAGTGTGCACAGACACACACACTCGCCAAATGCTGAGGAAAATGAAGAGCTTTTAGTAGACACTTTTTTTTTTTTTTTTTCTTTTGAAACAGAGTCTTGCTCTGTCTCCATGCTGGAGTGCAATCGCAGCTCACTGCAACTTCCCCCTCCCAGGCTTAAGCAATTTTCCTACCTCAGCCCCCCAAGTAGCTGGGATTACCGACTTCTGCCACCATGCCCGGCTAATTTTGTGTTTTCAGTAGAGACGGGGTTTCAGCACGTTAGCCAGGCTGGTCTCGAACTCCTGACCTCAAGTGATCCACCCTCCTCAGCCTCCCAAATTCCTGGGATTGCAGGAGTGAGCCACGGTGCCCAGCCAATAGACGCTCTTTTATGCGGAGTCATACTAACACAAATGAAGCATTAGAAAAGTGCCTCTGACGGGAGAAGGCAGGACGGAGACGGGCCACCAGCAGCTCAAGGTTTATAATTCAAAGACTCAAGACCAAGCTCTGACAAATGACCTTCCACAAAGTTGCCAAGACCATTCAACAAGGAATGGACAGTCTTTTCAAAAAACAGTGCTGGGAAATCTGAATATCCACAGACAAAGGAATGGAGTCGGACCCTTACCTTATGCCATATACAAAAATGAACTCAAAATGAATTCGAGACCTAGATGTAAGGTCTGAAAATAAAAAACCACCAGAAGAAAATGAGGGGAAATCTTCTTGACATTGGATTTAAAAACAGTCTCTTGGACATAATACCAAAAGCTCAGGCAACAAAAGAAAAATAAATGGATTTGATTATAGCAAAATTTAAAACTTCTGTGCATACAGGGCACAACAGAGTAAAAAGGCAGCCCAATGAGAGAATATTTGTAAATCATGTCTCTGATAAACGGATAATATCCAGAATACATAAAGAACATCTACAGCTCAACAACAAACTAACCTGATTTAAAAGGCCAAAAAACTTAGACATTTCCCCAAGAAGATACACAAACAGACAACAAGCACAAGAAAACATCATTAGTTATTAGAGAACCTCAAATCAAAACCACACAATAGTACTGTACCCCCATTCGGACGGCTATTCTAAAAACAAATGAACAGTACCAGTGACGGAAAATAGCAAGTCCCAGCTCGGATACGAAGAAATTAAATCCTTGTGCACTGTCTGTGGGAAGAAAAATGACATACCCACCGTGGGAGACACTGGAGAGCTTCCTCAGAAACTAAAAACACAATTACCACATGATGCAGGAACTCCACTTATTGGTATACGCCCAAAGGAATTAAAAGGAGGAATGAAACATTTATCTGAACAGCTGTACTAAAAATATTATTCATTAGCCAAAAGGCAGAAACAAGCACTCATCAATAGATGGATGGATTTAAAGTACACATATGCAATGGCATATTATTGTGTCTTAAAGAAGAAGGACACTGTGATGCGTGCCACAACATGGATACACCTGGAGGACATTACGCTAAGTGAAGTCAGATAGTCACAAGCGAGCAAATACTGTGATTCCACTTTTATGAGGCTCCTGTGGTCGTCAGGTTCATAGAGACAGAAAGCGCAATGCTGGTTTCCAGGGACTAGGGAAGGGGAAATGGGAGCTGTTTGATGGGTGGAGTTTCAGGTCTGCAAGATGAAGAGTTCTGGGGCGGATGGCAGTGGTGATTACACAGCAGTGTGAACAGACCTACTGCCACTCAACTGTAACAACAGTTAAGAAGGCACATTTTGTGTTATGTGTATTTTACCGCAATCTAATGAACCCTAAGTAGCCAAGGGAAGGATGGGCACACAAAGGCAGAAAAGCCAGAAATGGGGTGGTGGGAGCAATCTTCTGAGTGAAGAAAGCAGGTTCTGTTTTTTAAAAGTATAAAATACGGATGATGACACAGAGCCCCATACA